GGTGGAAATGCCAACTGAAATAAATACGTTTTTAAATTTTTCTTAAAGAAGACGAGTGATGCAGAGGAGCGAAGCTCTGCAGGGAGCTTATTCCATAAGGAAGGGGCAACGATGGAAAATGTTATAGAGTATGGGAAAGGGTGATTTTACTATGGATTACTATGGTATGCTAGTGTATATATTTTTGGAAAATGGTAACAGGATGAAGCACGAACCAGCCTCATGGTGATCACTGTCCTCTCTACATCTACCCAGCAAAGTGAATAATTGAGCTGTGTATTGCAGCTATTCCAATACGCTCAGCCAGAGTCCTGAAATTATTGGGGAGAGTGTAAGATGGATGAGGGTTTTTGTTTAAATATTCCTCATCCTTAGCCAAGATTGAGCAGGCTGGTTAGCAGTTTTATATCTCCACGTCAGGGCTGGGTTTTGTGGTCTCTTCAGTTTCTGCTATGATTATTAATGCTTTTTCTAAATTAGCTCAAGGCCGGAGGACTATTTTAAGTACTGCAGAATAGACTCAGAGTGATCTTGCAGTGAACTATCCCAGTATTAGTATGACAGATTTTAATGGGCCGTATCACTTACAGCCTGAGGTTATTTGGGATTTGGATACTAATATATGGATGAAGGAAACTAGACCCCCCCCCCTTCACTTTCCCCCCTTTCATGATCCCAGCTCATTTCTGTATTATTTGAATGGAGAAAAGTCCTAAAATGCAAATAACAGACTGCCAGAAGATATGGAATTTAGGGAAGATAAAGGAAGATTAAAACAGAGCTTGGAACTGAGGTGTTACTTGTAATGCGTTACTTCGGTAACTACACTTTTCTGTAATTTATTTATTTCTTTGAGCCCAAGAGAGCCAATGTGGCATAGTGGTTTTGTGCTGGACTCTGGAGACCTGGGTTCGATTCCCAGCTTGGCCATGGAACCTACTGGGTGACCTTGAGCAAGTCACGCTCTCTCAGCCTCAGGGGAAGGCAATGGCAAACCTCATCTGAACAGATCTTGCCAAGAAAACCCCATGAGAGGTTCGCTTTAGGGTCACTATAAGTCAGAAATCATAGCATTAGAAAAGATCTCAAGGACCATCAAGGAACTTTTCAGGAATTTATTTTCAAAAGTAATATAACAAGTAGGGATGTATTTTTCCCCTTTTGGCTTAAAAAGTAAGGTTTTTTATTTACTCTTAAAATTACTTTTAAGGGACACTTATAAGGCCTTTTTTGGAACATTTTTTGACAGGAATTGTTCACTTTTTATGCCATTCTGTTCCCAGTCCTGAAAGTGTTTTTCCCCCAAAACAAAGTAACAGAAAAGTAACAAGCAATACAATGAGTTACTTTTAAACACTGGAAAAAGTATCAACAACCAATTAAATGTCAAACATTAGGTGCAAATAAGTGCAACAAATGACCTTTTGAAAGTAACTTTCCAAGCTTTGCAAATAGATATATGTAACTAATTAACTAAGGAATAAGTAAAAAGGGATTTTTTTTTAAACCACCAAAGGAACTTCTTTCCCTTAGCATTTTCAGTGCAGATTTCTGACATTAACTACAGGATTTAGCTGCATACATGTTTTAAAAATTCACACCCATTATTAATGTAAGCAGAGTGGATATTTGAGCTCAACAGTAGACAGAGAACATATTGAGCCATTTGTACTAATATTCCAGTTTCTACTTATTCCTTGACAAGCTTTGGTGGAATTTGCAAGACAAATTTGTGTCGAGCAAGAAGACTCTCCTGGTAACTTAGTGAATGAAGACCATTCATTTGCTTTGGATCTGGCCATTTCCCTGTAGAACTTAAAATCTGATAAAATGCTTCTAGAGAGAGAAAGGGCCTTTTCAGAGTATATTCACAAGTCATGATTTGCTAGAATTAGTGCAAATTGAGTCCACTTTAACTGCCCTGGCTTAGTACTAGGGAATCATGGGAATTGTTTTTTGGGTTTTTTTGAGACATTGAGCCTTCTCTGCCACACAGAGAGAGCTCTGGTGCCACAATAAACTACAGTTCCCATGATTCCCTAGCACTGAGTCAGGGCAGTCAAAGTGGACTCAGTTTGCACTATTTCTGGCAGTCTGCAAAGGCCCTAAGTGATCCTGTGATCACCCATCACAACAAACCTTGGTTAAGACAGTTTGATATGATGTCCAAATTCACAATTCATCCATTTGTATTAGGGACCAAACCAAGGTTTGCTACTAGAGAGTATATTCACAAGTCATGGTTTGCTAGCAAGAGTTGGAAACCATGAAATAAATTTCCAAACCATGGTTTGTGCCTGGCTTGACAGATCATTATTGCTGTTCCTCTGTGCCGAACAAATGAGAATTCAAAGCATGGCTTGTATTCTAAAGCAGTGAAAGCAGCAATTGGGTGGCATCAGGACTCTCTTACAGAGAAAGGTAAATGTCTCCCAAAATGACAGTTGCAAGAATTCTCCAACATTGATCCAGGGGCAGGTAAATCAGTCTCAAAGTGAATTATTTCTGCAGCATGTTTTGGATCAGAATTTAGGTTACTGCATTTTCCAAGTGCTTCAAAAACACTACCAACAATTTTGAAGTTCTTTTTTAAAATTAGTTTTGAAGCCTGCATAAAATAACTGCTTACCCTGTGGTTTGCATGAGGCACTTTGAGACTCATGGTTTTTTTAAAAAAATTTGTTAATCCCCCTTTTTGGCAACAGAAGAGTCTTGTTTTTTTTCGGGGGCCTTTTCTGTGATTTAGAGCAGGAAGGAAGGCTCATAGAAGACAGTCTCTCAAATAAATCTTGTCTAAAAGGGTGTTCTCAGAAAGTTTGAATTTTGTCTCAGGTGTGGAGGGGGGAAATTAATTTTATAAAAGCCTTTTTTATGAGAACTGAGTGCAGAAGCATTTTAATTATGTAGGATATTGTTGCTGCTCCTGAAAACATGTCAAGACAGCAAACCCCAAAACATCTAAATGTTAAACTCAGTTTTCCACATCCTGAGCCCTCCCCCCTTAAGATTTGGTAGCCTACAATTCCCCTCATCCATGCCAGTGGCATGATCTGGGGATGATGGGGGTTGTGATCCATCTTGGGCAAGGGCATTTAGAACAAGAAAGGCTGATTTACCTGAACTGTATCTCTTTACTGAGTGATATTTATAATTTTCCCAAGGTGTGGTGGGATGAGTCATCCTTAATGTTATTTTTTTCATGTGATTAAAAAAAAAAGATAATTCTCAATTGTGAACATCCACAAGCATCATTATTACTTACTTTAAAGCAGGAAAATTCCAGGCTATTCCACAGATGCTGGGGAAGAAAAATATTGCTGTCGTTCACCTGCAGAACCATTTGGAAATATTCTGGAAAAGGTGTAGCATTTTGGCTGCCCTGGTCAAACATTGAGCCCCTCTTGGCTTTTGATAAGGAAACAAGTAGGCAACACAAAGCAGCTCCCATGACAATCTGCCCATGCCACACACAATTTGGTTCTTAGATATGATTCTGTGTGTGTATGTGTATATAGTCGGCCCTCCTTATCCACAGATTTTTTATTCAAGCATCCACAGCTTGAAAATAGTCCAAAAAAAAAAAAGTATAAATTCCAAATAGCAAACCTTGATTTCGCCATTTTATATATTCCAGCTATTTTATTTACAATAGGAACTAGCCAGCTGAAGCTGAAGCACGATGATTGGTTTAGTGTTCTTCTTTAGCTTTACTCTGTCTTTTGCTATTAGTAGTTCAT